CAAGATCGTTGACATAGCTATGCCCTGAGGCATTTTTAGAACAGGTGCCATAGTCTCGTTTCCACCATCGCACCTCCCGCCAAAGAATAGAATCCATCCCCACATCTTAGATGCCTGGTATTGTAACACCACGTGCATCTCGTTCGTTGCTTTTTCGAACCTACAAGATGTGGAATGATATTCTTCCTTTGCACTATGCTATGTGGTTCTTCACAAACCGTTTTTGCAGGGCTCTCAAAGGTTTTCAAAGCATAGGTAGCTCATCTGATGTTGCAAATGTTCATGGACGAAGATGACCACCTCACATCAGGTGGCTCGTTTGCTCGTTTGCCTCCTTTTTTACACATAAAAAAGAAGCTGGTAGAATAATTAAGCTGAAGTGGCAGTGGGAAAATGTCCGGAAAATTATTTTACTGAAAAATATGATTTTTTCAAAATTGAATTTTTTCCATGACCCCACATCACGGTTGACTAACGCTAGTTAGATTTAGAACCCAAAATAATAGTTTTATTTATTAAAACTTAAGTACCCGACATATCGCACTGCTATTAAAATAGTGTTGTAACTCAAAATATGTGAAATTCAAGATTATACTATTACTGAACGTAAAATTTTAATCTCTACAAATCAATAAAACCGTCGTTAGAATATTGTGAAAAACCATTCAAAGATGTCTATTTCACTTAAAATTAGACCAACTTCTTGTGACCTAATACATATGTACATACGTACATAAAGATCATTTCACTGTTTGTATAAACAAAAGATAATTAAGAAAGTATACCTAATTGTACTTGAAATAAGACACATACCTACTGATATCACTACGTTGCATTATTAACGCCTATACTTTACAAGAATAAAAAGCACAAATCATACCCGGGATTGTTTGCCAAATGGTCAATGCGAGAATTTTCGTAACAATGTTTAAATTATAGTTTCTTTTACAGGAGCAGGCAGATCCTACAATATTTCTCTAGTTTCGTCTGTACATGACCAAACTACATAATCAATAGCAAAACATTGATTAAGCGGCCTAAAGATGGCATGTATACGAATATGATTATTGTTGAAATTGTCTATCTATTAGCATGTAGCATATTTAAACTATATTTATAGTCTAACTGCAACATATGGTGCGTATTGCTTGGGTAATAATTAAGTTTACACCCTTTTTAATAATATGAGAAGTAGTAGAGTTCCTTGTGAAAGAATTCGTCCAGGGAAGTACTACTACCTTGTCTATTTCAGCCGCCTAACAGTAACGTGAGCATTCGCTGTATCGAAGGGTAAGGGTGCTGGTGAAATTACAGGCATATGGGACTTGTCAACTTAAGTCTCAGGGTGACGGGCGCAGTGGCAGTGCCTAAGATCTTAGCGATTAAAAGCTCTGAGTGAGAGCGCTTATCACCAGGCGCACAACTTGTTCGTCGCGTCGCTTAGTCTTATAAAAACAAACTTAAATTTAGAATATAGTGTTGGAATTCATAAATTATTTTCTCACTTATGCACTTTTAATTGTTTTAAAAAAGGATGGCGCTTCGCGGATACCGCTTTAGCCACAGAAAAATTATATATTTTTTAACTTGTTTGAAATCCGTGACATGTACAGAAATTAACTCTACAAGTTCAAATTCGAGTTGTAAACAAAACTCAACATAAACCGTGTATTTTTAAACGATTCTATTACTACAATCATTTCGGTAACACAATGGTTTTCCCCTGTGTTTACAAATCAATAGTTATTAAAGATTAACGGTTAACCCGTTACTTGAACTTAGGGTTAAAGTAACCTTACAAATAATTCACTTTTATTGACGACTACCGCTTTTTCTATAATTTCGATAATAGTTAATTTGAAATGTTTATTTTCGTAGTTTAGCAAAAAAAACAGTTTTGCAATTAGATATTTATAAACTGAAAAAAAAATTATTGAAATAAACAAGTCGTTGTTTGGGATGATGACGTAACTAGTAGCTATTTGAGCTTATGAAACATTTTTACAGCTACAATTTAAATTAATTAATTTAATCATGTTGGGATTAGTTGTAATAATAATAACTTAAGTGATAGTCATTACAAATACTATGGAAATAACAACAGTCGTTAGTTATTAATACATTGCTAACTGGACAGCATCCAGACACCAAAAAAGGGTTTAACCTATGTTAGTGGATAGTATTGTTGTCATCACGGTGGGCAAAAGCACCAATCGTATTTTTAGCAACAAAATAATGTCTTACATGTAACTATTCATTTAAGACCCAGAAAAAAATAAAATACAAGAAAGATGTTCAAAGAGTATACTTAGTACAACTTAAAGATGACTTAAACTAATTTATATAATTAAGGAGCAGTATGATCAAGAAAATAGAGAGTAAGTGTTGAGTGTGTTGTGCGTGATCCTGATTCTAAGTGAAATATATTAAGGTGCATCATAATTGTTGCTTTTGGTTGTATACACGGTCTTAACATTAGGAGAATCGGATACAAAAATTCGTGGAATTACATCTCTTTGCCAAGTTTTATTGAGATCGGTTACCGGAAAGAGCGCGAAACAGGATTCATCCCCTAGTTTGCCACCCTTAGAGGTGGAATATTTTCTTCAAATTTAAATGGAACCAATACTGAGGTACCCACTTTCCAACAAAAAAAGAATCATCAAAATCGGTTCACAAGTTATCGCGTAACATACCCACATACAAAAAAAATAACGACGTAATTCTTCGTTTTAATCTCTTAATTTTTTTTAATGCAATAACATAGTCCCGGAGTCAGGAGTAGTTCGAATAATGGGTGCTTGCAAAACTCATGGAATACAGGATTTGATAATGACCTCCACCATCATCAGCCTATTTCGCCCGGCGGTCCTCAGCTTGTCGCATCCATCTGCCGCCAGCAACCTTTCGCAGATTTTCAATCCATCTGCCAGAGGGCGTCCTACATTTGCCGTGACCTCCACTCAAGAGCTCGTATCCCCCATCGGCTATCGGTTCTTTGACAAATATAGCTAGCCCACTGCCACTTCAGCTTAGTTATTCTACCAGCTTCTTTTTTATGTGTAAAGAAGGAGGCAAACGAGCAAACGAGCCACCTGATGGGAGGTGGTCACCGTCGTCAATGGACATTTGCAACATCAGATGAGCTACCTATGCTTTGCCAGCCTTTGCGAGCCCTGTAAACACGCTTAGTGAAGATCCCCATAGCATAGCGCAAAGGAAGAATATCATTCCACATCTTGTAGGTACGACCAAGCAACGAACGAGATGCCCCCCTGGTGTTACAATACCAGGCATCTAAGATGTGGGGATGGTTTCTAGTCTTTGGCGGGAGGTGCGATGGTGGAAACGAGACGATGGCACCTGTTCTAAAAGTGTCTCAGGGCATAGCTATGTCAACGACCTTGTTCATAAAATCATATTTTAATGTTAATATAATATATAATTAACGATGATGAATAATATTATAATGACCGTGAGTCCATCTTCAAAGTAGCATATTAATAGCAAATCTTCTTCTTTACAAGAAAATTTCCCTGAATGACTCTTTTACAAAAAGTTCTACGGCTACATCAAAATCTACAGATCTTCGGTTAAATCTTATTTCCAAGTTGTTGATTGTTAAGTTGTTATATCCTACAGTGGCCATTTTGAAACTCTCGGAACGATAATTGATTTTTATGGACTTGTTTGTCAGATTACAGTTTTGTCATCAGGCATCACAAGACTGATCTCTGATTGGTTATTTCGAATACGGAACTTTCGACCAGTGAGTCACAACACTAATACAGATGAAGGTTTTCTAAGTCATGGCTTCTAGCGGTTCTGCCACGGTACAATGGGTTCAAATTCGGTTGACTTCAATGTTTTTTGAAGCCTGGTGGCTTTACTTTTGTTGTCGTCAAAAGAAATTAGTTTTATTTTGAATTTCGAAGCATAGTCAAAATGTTCCGGCTTCAAATTATTTTTGTTTTTTTACTTATAACATAACAGTAATAAAAAACGGCCTGAATCAAATTGTCTAGCTCTCGATTCTCTTCGATTTTTGAATTCGGCCGCGCCATTCGACGCGGCAAATAAAGATTCCGATTTTTTTGATATTCGTTTCCATCGTTCGTTTTGTTATGGGTCACTCAAACAATTGTGATGCAGTCTTGTATAATAAAAAAAGAGTTATTTTTATTTTTAGTTTCTTTTAATGTTTCATCAGGGAGATGATCTTTTTTAATTCTGTACTCTATAAATTCATTATAAAAAAACTTTTTTCCATTCCAAATATAAATGTATAGAGAAAAGTTTCTCAATATAAAAATAATATAAAGCCACATAACGTATTCAATAAAATTCGAACGTGATTTAAATATCACTAAAAAACAATTCTCAAACAACTGACGGCAGTTAAGCTTATTAGACAAGTATACATTTCTTCAAATAAGTATCTTATTAGACACAATACGTAAGTTACTAGTACGTAACTTACGTTTAAGTTCTTGTTTATCTCATACCGATTTAATTAACTACGTGTGAATAATTAAATGTGTGAAATGATAATAATAAACGAGTTTAAAAGAAGCCGCTCCGCGGTGAGTCATTGTTTCTAGCGATGCGTAATTTTGTTGCAATTGTGTATTATAATATGGAGTATTTGTAAGTATTCATAATTAGTAGAGCTTGAACGAGATTTCGTTTTGTTAAGATCGCTTTATACAAAATAATCGACTTAAACAATATTCCAGGTGTATCTTGGAAATATGTTTTTCAACGTTATATTAACAGTGAAGTACCTATAGTAATAATTTTGTAAAAATATTGAAAAAATTTGACGCGAGTTGGTTTGATAGTTTTTAAAATTAAATACTGAATTATAGGATTATTAGAAATATTATTAAAATTCAAAATTTACAGCACCTACTGTCACTATACATTTTTTAATTGCAAAAGAATTATAACAAAGACTCAATTTGTTGAAAGTAATAAATAAAACCATAAATAACACTTACGGTTGGCGAAGTAGAAATCAAACTGAGCAGCACAGCATGACACTTTCACAAATCATTTGTTTTACACAAAATCGTCACACAGTGTCACAAAACTTTGCCTTGATTGTCACACAAAGCACGCACTCGTCTTTTTTGAACACAGATTAAAACTTTTAACACTTCGGAAGTTTTAAATTTAATTTCGAAAAGAGGAACGCTGTTGATTTATATTTTTAATTGTAAAAACGGTTTTAAAATTAATTCAACACTCAATAGAGGTAGTAATCAAAATTATTATTGCCAGCAATTAGGCGGAGAGGGACAGAAGATAATTGTAGATCAATTAGTGATCCATGCATTACGATTCCACAATTACAAAGCACGTGGCATCATTTACCCGATTTTCGATTTCGATTATCGACTTTTCTCGGTCACGTCACTGATGTCATTTTTTTTTTCACTGCGAGTTCGATTATGCCAAGAACCGAATAGTCAAGTACGCATTTCACAAGAATCACTGACGATCACCGCGCGCTAAACACAAGTGATAACAGTGATCAAGTTTCGAAAAAATAGAATCGTCACTGGCCGGGAAAAAAAACAGCGCACACGGACGCACACAAGCACAAAATTCTGTCCAATTAAAGATAATGTTTGTGGATATTTTAATAGCGTTCCCCTCCGAAGAAATCCGACACAACCAACTCCCGTTGAATTTAAACACTTAATGATCGGTTGGGGGAAATTGTCCGCGAAACGAACTGCCCAGAGACTAGCCTTCTCTTTCTAAATAGTTCCTTATACCGCCACTTGTATAGGATCGCTGGCGCTAGTATAGCGTTGAGGGCGGGGCTAAAAAAGAGGCGGCAAATCGTGTAGGTGGAGCGTTCGTTTCATTGGCCAGTGTTGCTAGCGCGATTTTTTTCGTTTGTACGTGCGAGTCGAGCGGGTTGGCACCGAGACATCGATCGTTGGCGTCAGGGATGCCATTATGTGTTTTTTATGGGTATTTTTTGGCGGTACTCTGTACTTTAGTAACCTGTTATGGAAGACACGCCCAATGGACTTGCCGGGTATACGTGCAGAGATGAGAACAGCGGCTATCAATCCAGAGTCGGGCCGTAGGGTTTTGGATATTTTTTTTTCAAAGTTGTTTTTTTTTTATTGTTGAAGTGTGACGGTGTCTTTGATTTCTGTGCGGTGTCAGTTTTGCAAGGTCGTTCAACTTTGACTGTTTGTGTCACTTTGTGTGTATACCTGTTGGAAGTGCTATTGTAGTGTCAGTTATAGATCAAGAGTTACCTTTGCTGTAACGTAATTTCAAATTTGTCACTGTACATTTTTTAAATGTTCTTTTCAGAACAATCCTGATATTTTGTATGACTCGTTTCATACAACGACGATATTTTTTTTAAATTCGACATTTCAAAACATTTATTTTTAAATTTTATAAGTAATAGTTAAAGTTAACGATGCGTATCTGACTCTACACCAGAGAAGATTATTTGTGTTCATAAACTTTATGCTGTGTGTGACAATAACTGATGATTTATATTACGAGTTTTTAACGTGAATGTACTTTGTAAGGTTTTATTTACTCGCTTTGCTTGGTAACACTGAAATGTACAGTCGTGTACATCTAATACTTATGTAAAGAACACTGAAGCAAACTTTAACTTGTAACACCATGAAACATGGTCCTTATTTGAGGGTCTTTTTGGAAATTACTTTCCAATCTAGTTTTAAGGTAATGGAATTTAATTAACGGATTTATGTCTGAAAATTTCTGGTTTGTTTTCTAGTAAGACAAATTTTGACAACTCTAAAATCTTTTCTATATTGACTTCATTCTGGCTGTTCTAAATAATTTTGATACTATCTTAATTTGACTGTACATAAAAAAAAACATGTATGATATTACAAAGATACTTATATTTTGGGGAAGCAATTCATATGAACACACGTTTAAATATTAACTGCTTTTGTGATGTGGTAGCGTTAGTTATTTTTATTGCCAAATTGCAGAAAAATCTGCAAAATCCGCCGAATTTGCGCTACGAATGCGGGTTCAAATGGTAAATTAGATAACGCATCTACTTACCATATACCATATTAATAATAAAGGGTTCAACAACAACGTCACGGTGGATACTCTATTAGCTCTACTATTAAGTCATATTGACATTTATTGGTCAATTTACGACATCGATGGTTAGTTAATTGCGTTTAATAACACGTTATAACAGGCGATGGGATTTTATTCAGAAGTTACCAAAGTAACGTTGAACTTTTCCATATTTAGATATACGGTTTGCAAAGTTCTAGATTTGCCTGTTTCAAAACTGTTTAGCTGTGCTGGGAGTAGTACTTCTCTTATTTATAGTAAAAATATAATATAGCGCTGAAACGCCAAGAGCTTCTTTTTCCTATTGCGTTGATGCTTGTTTTAATTTAGGACTATACTAACTTTCAAAGTCAAATTCAAATAATCATTTATGCCATAGGTAAATTTTTTACACTTGAAAACGTTATTTTTTAAGTTACTGCTTGTCCACTGAGCTAACTTCCTTGAGAAGAATGAGCAAGAAACTTTAGGGATTGCTCTTGTCATTGACTTACAATTATATGGACGTCGGGTCCGCGCTAAAAAGTGTCCGAACTTATAGGGCGTTAAAATCGTATACAGAGCGTCATTCACGCTTTAGTCTTCGTTTGTTCGACTAACAGCGAAGCAAGCAATTTTGCTTAATTTAAAGACAGTACTGCGATGACATTACAATTTAAATTCAACGTTTTAGCTTATTCATATTCCTTTACATGTCACTGCGTTTAAATAGGTTGACTTGGGACATTTTTTTCGTGGTTTTTGTATTAGCCACGTCGTCCATTTATTTATAAGTCAATGGCTCTTGTCAAATAAACTTAAATGCACTTGGAATCAAATTTGTATGGAATTTAAACTCATGTCGTCTTTCCATACATCTATATCTAACACATAGGTACTCTCAAATTTTGTAATATGACTTTTCAATTAAAATACTCTTAATGTAAGTTTTAAACTTAGGAAATGGTAATCTTAATATATGCTCCGGAATCTTATTGTAAAAACGTATACAGTTCCCCATAAAAAAACGTTTACTTTAGTTAAACAAAATCGTGATACCATGAGTTCGGATTTAGTTCTAAGGTTAATATCTTCTTTCTTAATGAAATTATATGTATATTTTTACGGGCATACAAAATATTTCAGTAAATGTACTGTACCAGAAACTAAACGGTACACAGAACGAATCGCTCGTCTTTGCAGCACAGATATGGTTTGTATATCTGCCGCTTTACCTCACATGAGAATCCCATACGACATTATACTATGGAAATAACTGAAGTAAACTAGTTTAACAGCTGGCCAAGGAAGATATATATGAAATCCATTGAAGTTTAATATCTAAGATCACTCGCTAAAGGATAACTTTATTAACAAGGTCTAACCTTTGAATAGCATGTTGCACACTGTTGACTGCACTATCCATGGCCGCATAAAGATCTTCCCTTGCACAGGTATTAGGGCGTGTTGGATGTATTGTATGGACAGTATTGAGGCACCACAGTCACATCGGGTAGTATCTCTGAATCCCCATTTACAACATATTGCCTCTGCAGCAACTTACCGGGGTGCGAAATCGATTCTAAGTCACTTGGTCTAATAAAAAAAAATCATAACTGCCTCTGTGGCCGAACGGTTATCATGCTAGTCTATCACGCAGAGGACCCGTGTTTTATTCCCGAGCGGGAGAAACATTTGTATGGCGTGCATTTATTTCTCTCTTGAGTTTGGGTGTAATTTGTGGTTGTCCACGTGTGTATCCATGGCATCCGCGACTTAGGGTTTCCCTAATATGGGGCTATGAGTGTGTGCGTTATTATTATTATATACTCACGGCCTTAAATTCCCATTGGGGTAGGCAGAGACTGTCGATCGCTACTTAGCACGATCCCGATAAACCTCTCTTGCCCCAATATCTATTCATATATGCCTTCTTATTCTTCTCACTACGCACCCGAGCCTTTTTAAAAACCCTCTCAATTTGATCTGAGAATGTTCTACGTGGCCGTCGTCTTCCAATGATGCCTTTCAAGCTCTTTCTTTCATTAATGTACACTTATTCATCCGCTTCATGTGCTCAAACTACCACAACATATCCATTTCTATTTATGTCTCTACATCCTCTTTCAAACTACATCATTCCCGGTTTATTTCAAGTACCTTCACTTCTACTCTCGTCCTTCTGCCATACCCAACACTCTCCACAGGTTACCGTTAGAACCAACAATAGCATTAAAATAAATATTGGACGTAATTCGACTTAAGCCATTCTTAAATGGAAAGTGCGGTATGACACGAGTGGCGGCTGAAAAGAAATCTATCTAAGCATGAAATGAAAAAGTCTATGGCTACATCTTTTTTTCAATATGAACAAATGTGCATAGGAAGTGCAATGATCATATTTATTTCTATAAATGATGACAACATTTTTATAAAAAAAAAAACAACCTCATAGGTTCGTAGAATTACATCTATTTGTCAAGTTGTATCCTAATCGGTTACCGGAAAGTGCGCGAAACCGTATCCATCCCCCAGATAGGCGGAATATTTTCTTAAAATTTAATGGGACTCATACTGAGGTATACTTCTTTCCAACAAAAAAAGAATCATCAAAATTGGCTCAAAAATTCGCGTAACATACCTACATACAAAAAAATAATTTCCTTCTTTTTTGAAGTCGGTTAAAAAAGGTATTAAATAGATTACACTTATTACGTTTGATACAAAGGGACACTAGTCTGTTAAGAACAAGTTGTTACTCATTTTCATACATTCAACTTTTTTCGTCCGCCATGTTGTCTATGCAAAGCGAACCTAATAAAAAAAACACTAAAAAAAAGAAAAGTTTTCAAAAAAGAATAAACAACGATTACGTAAAGATAGTGGCCAGTATTTTTTAATTACAAATTGTCAAAAGAGATTACTTTTCAGTCGTTCCTCTTAGGTAAGCAAATAAGGTATTGTTTTTTTCTTGTATTATCCTTATTTTAGATAATCCTGTTATAAATAAATATGCAATATGCCGCCAAAGAATAAACTTGCCAGTCTCCCGCGCGTGGTGCCCTTGTCGTTGTCCTAGAATACGCGATTCAGATCCGAAATAATAACTTCATTTCCAGGACATGAAAAAAGAAACAGATTGTTATTGACTAACATCATTTCAATCAGCCCTGACCAAGAGACATATAAAGAGCTTGAATGTTTGTTTGAAAAACAAATATATGATTTAAATCAGAATGTTGGTTGGGGGCTTGACACGTTCTACGAGGTCTGTGCACCTTCTTCGACGTGCAGAACCTGCACAATGTTATACCTCACCGAAAAATCGTCGTCATAAAAAATTCTTAATTGAAAAAATTTAAACCAGGATCGCATTAAATTAAACAACTGTTTACGGCATTTTGAACCATAAATAATTGGTTATAAGAGATCCGTTAAAACGCACAGCTTAATTGTGTCCGCTTATCAATTAAACAGATTAATG